CATCTTCCGATCATCTTTGCCTCAACGCTGGGTTTCTGCTTTTGACTTTGAGGCAGATTTGTTTACATTCTTACCGTTGATTGGCTCCAGTCTGCCCTAAATCCTGCTGTGTCTCCATCAGTTTTGCTTATCCGTTTTTTGTGATAGAGAAAAACGAATGAAGCGGCCTTGGTATCAGGAGGACTCTACTCGAGAGGAGAACGAGAGAGCTCGTGAAGCCTATCGATCGCTGATGGTCATATCTCTACGTCGAGTGGAATCCGAGGCCTACCGGCTGTTTTCCGACAATGTACGAGCTCGGGCACTTCGGGATTATAACACTGAGTACAACGTACCTGTCGTAAGTACCACACTCTGCCGCAACCAACTGAGTAGACCTAACAGTTCTCTATTCTGATGTCGTGCGTCTCCTTGGTTGATTATCATCAAGCTATTGGACCACTTGCTCTAGTTTGTTCCTTTTCTTCCCATCTCCATCGACCTATCCAGGTTCCCGTTACCGTCGGGCTGTTCCACGATTCTGTGAAGTTGTACACCATCGCATTGGACGACGCCTTGTCCAGTGGAGTAAGGATTGATGACGGGGTCAATATCACACGTTTGATGCGAAGCCGTACCTTCGAGGGTGAGTGCATTGAGCTTCATTCAGGTTCGCGATGCAATCACCCTTGGCTTTTTCTCATGTTGTTGGGTTATGCTTGAATATCATCAGTAATATTCTCGCCCCCCAAACAAATTGGTCAACTCCGAATTCAGTTTGGAACGCAGGAAGATATTTACACGTGAAAAATGTCTGGTCTGATAGCAAAGTCCCGAATTAGCGGCGATCAATGGAAACCTAAAAACCTCTACTTTTTGTGAATGAACGATGATCTGGATGATGTCAAGAAAAATTCAGAGGGCTTTCGAGTAACTTTGACTGGCACTAGACTGCACAGTACTCGATCGTTTTAATGACTGGGTCACCGAAAAACTGAGATCTCAGTGCATTCAGACGAACCATCAAGCACGCGAATCACCTGAGGTCCACGCATCAGGTGTTCACAGCGTACGAAGTAGAACAGCTGATCGTGATGATTTGTAGCTCAAACCCGACAAGCGACCAACTCACGAGGATCACGTGATATTCTATCAGCCGAACGATGTTCGAAAGATTTCAGCTGCTCAAACTGGTTCGCAGCTTAGAAACTACAAAACTTCCAGTGCAGCTTATCAGATGTAGATTACCTGTCGTTTGACGATTAGTTGGAATGATCCAAAGATACCCAAAGATTCGCTTTGCACGCATTAACCGGAGCTTGGCGGTCCGTCTCCGGTGAGTGTGTCACACACTGGGAAAGTAACACTTTAGCTGCTTCAACACTAGGGATTACTTCAGTCTCAATATGGTACAGTATCAGGCGAGTATCATCTGTTTGAGTCACGAGCCCCTATTCACAGGGGCAAATGAACCTCTCCACATTCTTCAGTTTTTATTTCCCACGGTTGAAAACGGGTCTGAAATCATGTGCCCCACTTCATTCCCTAGCAGGATTGTCATACAGAAGTGCATAGAAAGCGGATAAAATTAGCACTCGAGTGTTGATTGATACTACTCACACTCTATGGTGTTGTAAATGTTCTCAGTGAGGGTCAACCAGTCTCTCATAATCAGTGGATGAAGAAGATAAAACCACGAGTGGACAAAGGGCATTCCAAAGTTGACCCTTTGGTCGCGACTAAATGTACTCACAACTGATGTTTCGGTCAGCAGTTAGTGACACGCGATATCAATTTTTGAGCGGAAGCTACGGAATGTCACGACAAGGATTCGTTTGATGGTAGTGTGAGGCGATTTTTCTATTTTCCATTGGTATTTCTTCTTGTCAACCTATGCTGAATAGCCGGAAAACACTGTACAACTGTCTCATCAACGGTGCGCATCTCGCGAAGCTCACGACTTGGAACGGGTGACCTTCCGGCCATTGTCTGAACGCTGAACCGTTCGACGTCGAGCGGCTGAACAACACTGATTAGCTTTTGCTTGGATAGGATACAGCACCGTTCATCCATCGCTCCTCGTCACTCGAGGAACCAATCAGTCACGTGACTATGTGATGAGGTTTCTGTGATGAAAGGATGAGTGATGCTCTGTTCTGCCTACATGAGAGCTCTTCAGACGCTCGTGGCTGCTGCTCACATGAGCCCCCTCCAGGCGCGCGTGGCGGAACCGCCGAATGGTCGCGCTTTCGGAAACACCTGGATTTTCGTGATCATTCCCACTAAAAAATAAAACAGCTGCGTGGCTTTGAAGCATAAATTGGCGTCATTGAGGCGATGAAATATCGATTCCAAAAATCAATTTGCTTCATTGGAACTTGGTAGACGAGATACCAATATTGTCTACAGTCTGTTCAGCCCGTCTCCGTAAATTATATCTCTACTACCTCCCACCAACTTCGTTGCTGGTCCTTGGGGTGGGCCGAACCTTTCTCGAAAAATCTTCGGCCGGAATTGCCAAACTCAGAACGTCCTGGTGAAGAAAAAAGGTTGAGACTAAAAACCTAGTTTTTGTGGATGTTCGATTAAAGACCAGAATATCATGGTCCCCCATTGCACTAGATTGAACAGCTTGTGTTTTTTCTGCTTAAAAGCACCGTGGAGTATTACGCAAATCTGCGTTTGGATCCGGACACATAAAAGAGATGTTATTCTTTGGTGGCCATCAGTAACTGTCCAAAGGGGACGATGTTTTTTCCAAAGATGTAATTGCTCTCCATATCTTAACTTTTTTTTAGCTCGAGGTAGCTCAATGATTAGCACGCCAACTTACCGACCGGAAGGTCCATGGTTCGAACTCAACCTCAGTATCTCGACTGCTCCTGCCCAGGCTTTGGCAACCTGGCGGTATCTCAGCTCTCGTGCCCCTTTCCAATTAGCGTGGCAGCTAGAACGACCTATCATTTTTCTGTATACCCTCAGGCAAAGCTAGGAAGCCAACTCAGCACTTTAGACTGATCACACCATGTTCCGTCTGACTTGGTCTTGATGGGCTCCTCGTATGGTGGCCACAAACCTGAGCGCTTCACACGTTGTCCGAGGCTTCAGTTCGGCTTTATTCCACTGAGTGCCGGATCTGTGACATTTCCCAACCGTAAAGCTGCAATTGTTTCTCTTCCCACTAGTGCGAGGGGCATGATATGCTTTTTACGGCACCGTGTTCGCCCTCATACCGGCCCCGTTCACAGTGAAGACATCCATCCTCGCCACGTGGAACTTTGCGATTTCAGTAGAGAATTTATGGTGTTGAGAGACCATCCCATTTTAACCTTAATTAGAGCAAATGTTTACACTTTTCTATACTTTTTCTGCAGAAGTATTGCTACTGTATGATCCGTCATCACGATGACTTGTTTCTTTCGTGAAAAGGGGCGAGATGACCCAGTGGTTAGAGTGCGGATTTAATGATCAGAAGGTCAGGGGTTCGAACCCGACCGCTGCCTTTTGACTTCCCCTGTCTAGGCTTGGGCAAACTGGCAGTATCCCAGCCCTCGTGGTTCCTTCTGGCGGAATGGCAGTTGGGCACCGAAAGGGTGCTGCAGGTGAACGCTCTTTTTTATGTGAATGGCAGGGGGATAGGCAACCTCGCTCAGCCCACACAGATATTAAACAGGGTTTTTGCACTTCCAGGCCCCGTTTTGGGGATCTGTGCTGACTGTCAAAACAAAGCACTCCAAAATCCGTGTGTGCGTTTACCCGATGGCATGTGTGTGCTCGCGTAAAAACTCGTCAAGGTCGCAAACCGAACTGAACTAAAACGCGGCACCGCAGACGCATTTGGAACCCTTTTTTATCGTCTGGCTCCAGATCTCAATGACCCTTGTGCAATCGCGTAATGTTTAGGCGACCCTTTTTTATCGTCTGGCTCCAGATCTCTATGACCCTTGTTACATTGTGCAATCGCGTAATGTTTAGGCATCCGACAGTCATTCACGTCGATCGAATTCTTAATCCCCAGCGTCCTTTTTCGATGCTAATTTGATTCGCTGTGCTGTGTGGATCAGCTGATTTCATAAACGCTGAGTAGAACTTGCCACAACGCACAGCCTTATGAAAGATGGCGCAGCGGAATTGATCACGAACTAGTACCGGATACTGAAGACTGGCTTACTCTAGTTCGGTATGGAACAACAGTGACTCTGTGTTTGAATACCTGAGCTGTTGTAATTCCTTCATCAAGGCTACCTGTATAGGGCGATGTAAGTAAAACACCTACAAACGACAGTTGTTACTCGCTAATGACATCACCAGATCAGTCAAAAATGTGGTTGTGTGGATGAGAAGCTGAAAAAGTGTGACCATGAAAATTTGACTTTAAGCCTCGAAAGACGGCAGAAACCCCCAAGACTTGTTTGCATTCTCGAAGTAGAATTTCTCCGGCGACTGAAGGCAGGATGGCGACCGTTTCTCATGTGGTTGCTCTTGAGCAGGAACAACGCGTCTCGTTACAGTGCCTTGGATCTTTACGGAAAAGTTAGCACAAAGTTGACAAGTTTGTTTGTTAGCTTTCCACTGAACTTGGAAAGTGTACAATGAGACAGTCGGTCTTCTTAGGTAGTCGAGAGGGGAGGGATAGCAAAGAAGGGGGACATCTGTGAACCTTGACGAAAGTGGGCTTAAGAACATGACAGACAACAGATTCAGCTCGGTTCCAAGTGAGTCTTCCATCAAAACTGATGTACAAATGCGTCTAAACCTGTCCAATTTGGGTTCGAGTAGAATATTAGGTTGACGGAAACTCTGAGACTGCGTCTACCTATGAGTTCAACAAGTGAGTCTTCCATCAAAACTGATGTACAAATGCGTCTAAACCTGTCCAATTTGGGTTCGAGTAGAATATTAGGTTGACGGAAACTCTGAGACTGCGTCTACCTGATGAGTTCAAAGTGCAAGGGTGAAACCGGTCGTGGGCTGTCGAAGAGTTTTCAGCAACCTTATGAGTAGTGTAGTATGTCTAGTATAAGGTAACTTTGGAGCGATCAGGTGGCTAGGGACAATCTTGTAACCTGGCATTACAGAATAATGAGTACTCTCGAATGTTCCTGAAACGTACCACTAAGGACCAACTCCATCTATGCCTATTCTCCTACTGCCGATATTTTTCCAGTGCCTTTGCTTTCACACAACGACGGAGAATCTACTGGAACCGGCTTCTTCATCCCTGGTCGCTCCTGTAGGTGACGATCCAAGACGCTTTCTCACGAAATCTCACAATCCTTTTTCTATCAATACTCGGATTCCGGTTACTCAACCGAATTTCTCTGATCCAACACACAGTCTCGTTTCTTTATCTTGTTCGTGTCGGATACGGCTTTAGTCTCTCTTCCTGTCTGATTTATAATGACTCTCCTGTCTAGGTTGAGAGGGGCCTGTTTCTTTCTGGTTTGTGCAGTGGCTGCAGAGGAACTGCGGTGAGAATCAGTCAGCCACGCGTCAGTATCGATCTGCGTTACCGGGAGATCCTAAATCTGACCAACCCTCGTAGTTTTCTTCCAAAAAGAAACTTATCCCCGAAAGTCAGTTGGTTTTGATGTGAATCTGTTAATTTCGGCGTCGATGGATACAACGCGCGCGTACTGAGACTCG